ACAGATGGCGCCACTAGCGAATTCAAATCTGCTTGGCGGGAAATTTAAAAACTTATTTGACAATTCAAATTTGCTTGGCCGCCATTTTGTTTTACCGACCGAGTTAGTTGAGCAGACACCCAACAGATGGCGCCACTATCTATTAGCCCAATTGGGCTACATGAATTTTTAAATTTTGGCGGGAAATTTAAAAATTTATTTGACAATTCAAATTTACTTGGCCGCCATTTTGTTATACCGACCAAGTATAGTTTCGGTTGTCACCGAGAGATGGCGCCACTAGCGAATTCAAATCTGCTTGGCGGGAAATTTAAAAATTTATTTGACAATTTAAATTTGATTGGCCGCCATTTTGTTTTACCGACCGAGTTAGTTGAGCAGACACCCAACAGATGGCGCCACTATCTATTAGCCCAATTGGGCTACATGAATTTTTAAATTTTGGCGGGAAATTTAAAAATTTATTTGACAATTCAAATTTGCTTGGCCGCCATTTTGTTTTACCGACCGAGTTGTTGGCGGGATGTTAAAAAAATTATTGAACAATTTAAATTTGCTTGGACGCCATCTTGTTTTTGCTTCTTAAGATTAAAATCTCTTGGTCTTTTGAATTTCGCGGGGTGAAACTGTTTCACCGACCTAGTGATTGTTAGAATTTACTAAAACATTATCTTCAATTAATTTCACTAGTTTATAAAAAAAGGTAAGTGTATATTATATACTTATGTTTCTTGGGAGATATAAATTACTTTTTAAGTATTGATAGTTTATCAGTAAACATAAAAGAGTTTCTACTTTTGAAAATTCTATATTTAAACACAAGTTACTTTTATTTACAAAATTATATTATTTATCAAAACTCTAACTCAAAATATTATTTACAACTTATTTATTAATTATAACACTGAATTCTACATAATTTATAATGTAGTATTTAAAGCCAAACTTAGTCTTCAATGATTTCTATTTATGTAATTGATAAAATAAAAACATAATTTTGAATTTAAAATGTTTTCGCGCCTCTTTTAAGGAACAAGAAGTCATGTTTACAATAAACGTAAAATAAGTTTTGTAATTCCCATATCAATTAAAATTTTTGAATTATCCCGCCTTCCAGATTGTTTAAAAAATTATAATTTATTTATAAATTAATTCTGGAAAAACATAACATCAATATTGTATTATTTTACAATTAACATTTCTAATCAACCCATGCTAGCAGACAACTTTTTTTGTAGTGTTTAAAGGAACCAAAAATTGTAAGTGTTCATTTTAGCCAAGTTTACTTTTCTCATTAAAAAAGTATTTTGTAAATAATATTTATCAAACAATATTATTTCCTATTATTTTTTCATATTTAGAAAGCCAGCAGTACTATGAATGTGAATATCGAAGGAATGGAAAATATGGAAAGGATTGAAAATGTACAAGAGATTGAAAATGTTCTGGATGACAAGAAAAAAGTGGTAAGATTATTTACACGTTTTTTTTTTACTAAATGTTAATAATTATAGAATACATTTAAAGTGAGATTATACTTTATTATAAAAATCAAAAAGTGAATCTACATTTAAATTGACATTAAACAAATTTTCAATTTAATTTAAATCCAAATTCAACCTAACCTAGTATTGCTTTAAAAAAGTATTTTGTAAATAATATTTATCAAACAATATTATTTCCTATTATTTTTTCATATTTAGAAAGCCAGCAGTACTATGAATGTGAATATCGAAGGAATGGAAAATATGGAAAGGATTGAAAATGTACAAGAGATTGAAAATGTTCTGGATGACAAGAAAAAAGTGGTAAGATTATTTACACGTTTTTTTTTTACTAAATGTTAATAATTATAGAATACATTTAAAGTGAGATTATACTTTATTATAAAAATCAAAAAGTGAATCTACATTTAAATTGACATTAAACAAATTTTCAATTTAATTTAAATCCAAATTCAACCTAACCTAGTATTGCTTGCTTCCTAAATATGAAAGAATAATAGGAAATAAATATCCACTCAAGCTAGCACTTATTTTACTACATAATATTATTAGTTCACATTATTAGTTCAACATAATATTATTATTAATTAATCAATAATTTTTTAGATGGATGGAAGAAATGGAAAAATATACAGTCAGATTGACATTTTGAAAACGAATAACATTTTTAATAAACTATTCACAAATATTGAAGGCATGGAGTATGATCCGAATCAACATGGACTATTTCAAACAGATGCTGAACATCCAAATTTCAATCCCAACATACAAAAAATCTTCCGATTTCATAGACAGTTAGCAGCCTCAACACAAAATCCAAATAAGCCCGTAGAAAGACATAATACCACACCAAAATCGCACTGCTCAGAATTTGACCGCAGATTAAGGCCCCAGAAAGATGTTGAAAAAAGTCCATTACGAGAGCAGCCTAACGATGGCCTAACAAACATTGAAAGGTTGAAATTAAAGGTTGCGAACGTTAGAGAAAGGAAAAGGAAAATTCAATTTGTTGAACCTCATACAGTAAAAAGACGTAATAAGCAAAGGGAGCCAAAAGAAAACTTATGTTCTGCTATGCAGAGAAATGTTTTGAAAAACGTGAAAAGAAAAAGAATAACCAGTTTTAAATAGAAGCTTTGAAAGTTTTTTCATGCTTTTTTTATATGAAAAATTCTTTTTCAATGTTTTTTTCTATAAAAATTCTTTTTCGTTCTTACCTTTATCGTTTAAAGTTTTTTCATGCTTTTTTTCTATAAAAAAATTTTTTTCATTTCTTTTTTACTATTATTATTCAATGTTTTTTCTAAAAAAAGTTCTTTTTCGTTTAAAGTTTTTTCATGCTTTTTTTTCTATAAAAAAATTTTTTTTATTTCTTTTTTACTATTATTATTCACTGTTTTTTCTACGAAAAACTTCTTTTTCATTTTTACTTTTAGTGTTTAGAGTCTTTTCATGCTTTTTTTTTTCTATAAAAATTTTTTTTTTACGTTTTTACTATTATTGTTCAATGTTTTTTTTCTAAAGAAAGTTCTTTTTCGTTTAAAGTTTTTTCATGCTTTTTTTTCTATAAAAAAAATTTTTTTATTTCTTTTTACTATTATTATTCACTGTTTTTTCTACGAAAAAGTTCTTTTTCATTTTTACTTTTAGTGTTTAGAGTCTTTTCATGCTTTTTTTCTATAAAAATTTTTTTTGTTACGTTTTTACTATTATTATTCAATGTTTTTTTCTATAAAAATTCTTTTTCGTTCTTACCTTTATCGTTTAAAGTTTTTTCATGCTTTTTTTCTATAAAAAAATTTTTTTTATTTCTTTTTTACTTTTAGTATTTTAAGTTTTATAAATGTTTTAATTAAAAAATTATATATGTATATTTGTATAAATGTATATACATATAAGTAGAAATTTATTGTAAAATAAATATATATTTTTGTTAAAAAGATGTTTTACTTTACTTTATTATTATAATACCTAATAAAATAATAAAATAAAGTCAATCTTCAATCAGAATCAATTTTCAAAATTAAACTTACTTTTAATCAATTGACTTCATTTAACCTCAATCTTTAAATTAATTTTAAAAAATATTATAACCAACCTAATAATGTTATTAAAATGAATAGAAGATTTTACTAAAAAAATGTAATTTATTTATTCAACAATTCAAATTCTTTGAAATTTGAATTTCGCGCTTTACCGACGGGTAGTCAGTATCTTGATAGTTACCCTCTACCGCCGCAAAGCATGATCGTAAAAGTGTATAGTGGGGGGAGAGCGCGTGGTAGGGATATTCCTATAAGTATTGTGCAACACAGCAGAGGAGCTCATTCAGCTTGCAGCACAGCAACAGGCAGTCGAGATGGAAGAGAAGCCGTGCGAGTGCTACAACTGCCTAGTGCGGATGGTGTCGGTGTACAATGTAAGTATTAATAATTACTTACTTAATTATTAATAATTAAATTGTTCTAAATTGTATATGTTAGTTGCAGCACCCAGGTCGAGAGGTGCCTCTCCCGTCAACACCACCAGGGTCACCCCCAAGGTACCCATGGCACCGGCCAGAGACGCCACCACCATGGGTAGAACTGGGGACACCACCCAGGTCACCGACACCAGAAGTAAGGTCACCAACGCCTCCGAGGTATCGATGGCACCGACCAGAGACGCCACCACCCTGGGTGGAACCACCTCCGTCGCCTTCGCCAAGGCCACTAACCAGGTCGCTGTCACCACCTCCACCAGAGGTTGGTCCAACAGCCCCACCTGAACCTAACGATGGAGGTCAGCGACAACGACGTCACCGTCGTCAGCGACAACGACGTCGTCATAATATTATAATAAAAATTATAATTAATAATTATAATAATTAGCATTAATAATAGAAAGGTTTAGTTTCCAAAAAAATGAGTGTGTATTTATTATGTGTTAAGGTTGTAAATGGTCTAGTGCGCATGCGTAAAACTTAGGAGTGGGAGTAAAACGTTTAGGAGTGGGGATAAATGCTCTACTGCGCATGCGTAAAACATAGGAATGAGTGTAAAGCGCATAGGAGTGGGGATAAATGGTCTACTACGCATGCGCAAAGGTAGTAGTGGGAGATTTTTGGGTATTAGAGTGGGGATTTCAGATTATAAATGAGGGTTTCACGAGTAGATTTCTCATTGTAATCTGTGAACTCAGCCAGATTAGACGCAGCTAAGCTATCACCGATTATAGTATTCCAACTTTTATTTTACTTCTTTTTCGAATTTTCTTAGATTAGAATTTATTTTGTAAGCATTTTTATTGTATTGTTCTTTTTTCAGATTAGGATTTAGTTTATAAGTGTGTTTATTGTATTGTTCTTTTTTGCGTTCTCTTATATTATAATTTAGCTTTTAAGTGCATTAGTTTGTAAGTTAGTTTTAACTATTTTTCAAAGTTTTGTATTGTTCTTTTTTGTTATTATTCTGATTAATTACTTTCCTTTTTTTATTATTTTTTATTACTTGTACAATGGTGGGTAAACGAAAGTTTACAAGTATTGAAGGACAAGCGAAGCGTCCTAATTATAGCACCATCCTTGATGAATGTGAGGTCACAATTGCACTCATCAAGGATGCTTTAGAATTGCTCACAAGTTTGAGTAATGATGTCAATAAAACAAATTTCATATCACGATGGGTTGAAGAATGTTCTCGCAATGAACAAGTTTTAACAAGCATTTTAAGATCATTGTACTTTACACATGAAAAAAGTCGTTGTCAAAACATTTTACAATCGATAATGAGATATCGAGTATTGTTCGAATCTCAAACGATAGTGGGCGGTGGTGTACAAGACCTTAATGTTAATAATCGTGTAAGATGGGCTATGTGTGAGAGTGCATTTGAATGCCGCTTATATACGTATGTGATAATAAACATTGTACATATAGACATAACTGCGTTTCTGAATGATGCGGCCATTTTGTTCAAACGTCATATAAATGACGTTGTAAAAAAAAATGGCCCCTTCACGATCTACGGTGTACTAACTGCCAACTTCAAGAGGATGCAGAATGAAGAAGAAGTGGTGCAGCCAATACCATTCATAGCCAAATCTAATAGTATATTTCAAACAACACCATTAGAGGAATGGTTTGAGATAAATATGAAGCAGCCAATCTTAAGGAAAGTTGAAGAATTTTATGAGAAAGGGTCTAGCTGGAATCTGCAGTCAATCATTAAGTTAGAGATTAATGTAAATAAATATAACCCAATGCGTGCGAGTTCATATATCAACTTACCTAGTCAAATTAATCGAAAAAAGGCATGTATTAATGTACAAAACAAAGATAAAAAATGTTTCAAATGGGCTGTATTGTCAGCTTTGCACTCAAATATAAGAGATGCATATCGCGTATCAAGCTATAAAGACTTTGACAATGAACTAAACTTTGAAGGAATAGAATTTCCTGTATCGTTGAAAAGTATTGTGAAATTTGAAAAACTTAATGATATATCGATTAATGTCTACGGCCTTACCAAAAGGTATGGTAATTTTTCAGTTCACCCTCTTCATCTCACCGCAGAGAAGAGGGTGAAACATGTAAATCTACTGCATGTAGTAGATTTTTATTTCGATGAAAGCATGAACCAAAATTGTAACGATAATGATGTTAATTTCGAAAATTTCCACTATGTATGGATTAAGGACTTATCACGACTTGTCTCGAAACAATTGTCTAAAAGAGATCATAAACAGTTTATTTGTGACCGTTGTTTACACTACTTCTCATCTGTAGAAAGATTAAATTCACACGATGAAAATTGTAAACTAAAGAATATATGTAGCGTAAAACTACCGAAACCTGAGAATTGTATAGTTACGTTTAAGAACTATGTAAACAAGGAAAAAGTTCCTTTTGTCATCTACGCCGATTGTGAAAGTTTACTTCTCCCCGCTGAAGAAGATACAGATAATTTAAGTAAAACTGAAATTTTCCAGCGTCATAAATTGCTTAGTATAGGTTATTATGTAAAATGTAGTTACGATGACTCATTGTCCGTGTATTTACCGTGTCCAAGGCAGGAAAATGATCCTGCCAAGTGGTTTGCTGACGAGTTAAGGCAATTTTCCGAGAAAATTGATAATGTATTTAAAAATCCTATTTCTATGGATGTCTTAACTAAACAGCAAATAGCTGATTTTAATAAAGCAACAGTGTGCCATATTTGTCAGACGCATATACCAGCGGGTGTTAAAAAAGTGCGAGATCACTGTCATCTTACTGGTAAATACCGAGGTGCTGCGCATGAGTCATGCAACTTGAATTATCAAGAGTGTCAAATCGTACCCATTGTATTTCACAATTTAAGTGGGTACGATGCACACTTTATAATTCATGCTGTATCGACGAGCTTTGAAGGTCGAGTTGACCTCCTCCCCTTGAACAAGGAGAAATATATCTCCTTTACGAAAAATATCAAGGGGAGTGAGGTTAAATTCCGCTTCATCGACTCGTTTCGATTCATGGCTGCATCTCTCGAGAAGTTAGCGTCATACCTTGATGATTATAAAATTGTAAACGCCGTTTTTGCCAGTACGGTGACTGATCCAGATAAAATTAAGTTATTAACTCGAAAGGGTGTATTCCCCTATGAGTACTTTGACTCAAAAAGTAAGCTAGATGAGACAGAATTGCCTCCGAAAGAGAAATTCTACAGTACTCTCTACGACGCTGGTATATCTGATGATGAATATGAGCATGCCCAAAAAGTCTGGTCTGAATTTAATTGTCAAACCCTTAACGATTATGTTCACCTTTATATGAAAACTGATGTGTTATTACTTGCTGATGTATTTGAGAACTTTCGCGAACAGTGTGTAAAAGCGTACGGGTTAGATCCAGCACACTATTACACTACCCCCGGTTTAACTTGGGATGCTATGCTAAAATATACGGGCATAGCATTGCAACTTATAACCGATATAGACATGATGATGTTTATTGAGTCGGGCATCAGAGGTGGCATTAGCCAGTGTTGTAACCGGTATGCTAAAGCGAACAATCCCTATATGGATCAGTTTGATCCATCTCAAGACATTAAGTATATTATGTATTTCGATGCCAATAATTTGTACGGTTGGGCAATGACGCAGGCACTTCCAATTGGTGGTTTTAAGTGGATTGCCAATCCTAACGAGACGTTCGACTTCAACGTACCCGACGACTCTTCAGTCGGGTATATGTTGGAAGTTGACCTCGAGTATCCCGAGAGCCTGCATGATTTTCACAAAGACATGCCGTTTTGCGCAGTAAATGCAAAACCTCCTACTTCTAAGCATGAGAAATTACTCACGACTCTCCTGCCTAAAGAAAAGTATGTCATACATTATCGTGCTTTAAAACAGGCTCTGGGAAACGGTATGAAGCTCGTAAAAATTCATCGAGTGCTTAAATTTAACCAATCCAAATGGTTGAAACCCTACATTGATTATAATACTGCCATGCGAACCACTGCGAAAAATGAATTTGAAAAGAATTTATTCAAATTGATGAATAACGCAGTGTATGGTAAGACCATGGAAAATGTTCGCAAGCATGTTGACATTAAGCTGGTTACACACTGGTACGGCCGATATGGTGCCGAAGCTCTCATCTCTCGACCAAATTTCCACAGTCGAGCGATCTTCGATGAGGACCTTGTGGCCATTGAACTGCGTAAGACTGAGATTCTACTCAATAAACCAATTTATGTGGGTTTAAGTGTGTTGGATATCTCGAAAACGCTGGTCTATGACTTTCACTACAGTTACATGCTCCAGAAATATGGTGGAGCATGTAAACTGTTGTACACAGACACAGACAGTCTAGTGTATGAAGTGAAATGTCAAGACATTTACAAAGACATGAAAGAAGACATTGAAAAGTTTGACACATCTGATTTTCCCACGAACAACGTGTATGACATGCCGCAAGCCAACAAAAAAGTGCTCGGCCTCATGAAGGATGAGTGTAATGGTAAAATAGTTACCGAATTTGTTGGCTTGCGGAGTAAAATGTATAGCATACGCGTTGCAGGTGAGGATTTTGTTAAGAAAGCTAAAGGCATTAAAGCAGGGGTCGTCAAAAAGACAATAAACTTTGATGACTATGTAAAATGCCTTCGCAATTTTGAAATTCAGACTAGAACTCAATATAATATTAGGTCACGGTTACATAATGTAGAAACTGTTAAACAAGTGAAAGTAGCATTGAGTCCGCATGATAATAAACGGTACTTGTTACCGGGGAGTACCGACACTCTACCGTGGGGTCACTATGCGATCCCAAATCTCGACGATTTGTAAATAGTTGATAAGTTCGAGAAAAAATGTCGGGAAATATAAAGACTGTGAAAAAAGAAATAAATAGAACAATTGTATTTTAATTTTATGTGTTTTTTATTTAAAAATTCCTTACATATATACATTATAACATTGATTCAACATTGATTCAACATTGATTCAACATTGATTTAACATTGATTTAACATTGATTCAACATTGATTCAACATTGATTTAACATTGATTTAACATTGATTTAACATTGATTTAACATTGATTCAACATTGATTCAACATTGATTTAACATTGATTCAACATTGATTTAACATTGATTTAACATTGATTTAACATTGATTTAACATTGATTCAACATTGATTTAACATTGATTTAACATTGATTCAACATTGATTTAACATTGATTTAACATTGATTCAACATTGATTTAACATTGATTTAACATTAACTATAAATTATACATTTGCTTTGTCTTCCCAAGTGTTGTGAGAGTTATCGAAACCAAGCCACTTGACAAGAACTTTGTTTCCACGTGTCCTGAGAATTTTCTCAACAAGATAAATGTCTGAATATTTCACTTTTAGAAGCTCCTCTTCATAGAATCCTCCACTGATGGGTTGATCTTGGTAATCCTTGAGTTTGTAAGTCACAGGTTGTGTTGATTCCACTTTATCAATTGTAAATATTTCAGTAGTCCAATTAGGAGTATAACCTTTTTCGAAAATATTTTTATATTTGCTAACTCGCACTTTGTCACCAATTTTAAATTTAGATCGTCTTAACGGAATTTTTCTGAGCTTCGAGATTCGATCTTTTAAAATATCAACATGTTGTGCAGTAACATCTTTAGGCTTCATTCCAATTGTTCTATGTTTTGTGTCATTATAAGTAGAAATGAGGTTAGGTAATATATCATACCACTTGTAATTTCCTCGTAAACTGAATTGCATCCACATTTTCCTTTTAAGTGTTCTATTAAATCTTTCAACAATAGATGCTTTCAAGTTACTGTATGTTGAATAAAAATTAATTTTGTACTTCTTCATTAAAGCTTCAAATTGAGAATTGTAGAATTCTTTACCTTTATCGGAATGAAGGTTCTTTGGAATACGTCCTTTTTCAAATATGAATTTCATTGCGTTAGTCACATCTTTTCCATTTTTACTTTTTACTGGAACAGCCCAAGAATACTTGGATAAAATATCTATGACTGTAAGTAAGTAATTGTAACCTTTGTTTATTTTTGAATAAGGTAGCATTTCAACTAAATCTGCTTGCCAGGTGTCATCAATATCACGCATTTCTACGCGACGGCGATGGAAATTTTTTCTAGCCTGTGTATGAAGTTCAGTTACTACTGTTAACTTTTTATCAGCCATCATTCTTTAATAAATTTAGCTGCATTAAATATAAATTTTGCTGTGATTCAATTTGTTTTAGTTTTTCGTTAACTCTGTCCTCAATAATTTGCATAAAAAGATTCAAGTCATCAATAGATGATCTTAATGATGACGTAACTTGGAAAATAGTTTTTATTTCGTTTTTTACAATGTTTTGTACAAGTCTTAAATTTACTGCATCATGCAGTTCTTCAGCGTCCTTAACGTTACAAAGTCTTTTATTATCTATATCAAAGTGGCCACTTGAATTAACTTTAAATCCAACTCCAGTAGGTCCACGTCTTGCTATTACTGTTCCTCCTTGACTGAGAGGATGTCCGAACAGATCAATGCTCATTATTGAAATGAATGACATTTACTAAAGCACACCTTAATATATGATTTTAGCCTCACGTAATTCCTCAATAATTGACATAATTTCATTATTATGACTTGTATTGCCAGCTCCTTGAGATGCCATAAGTAATCGAAGACGATCAACCAATTCATTTGGATCATCCCAATAAATATAGTCTGGTTTAAAACTTTTATTCGCAATCATAAATTTAGGAAGTGAACTACCACTTATAGATGACTCTTTTGTAGAAGGAAATAATTTTGATATAATATTCATGTATTTAAAACTTTTATCTCTATGAATAGAGTTAGAGGAACTATAGTTTTTTCTATGTGCATTGGAGGTGGTAAGAATTTGTTTATAACTATTCATATCATGTTCACTAATGTATGATTTTTCAGGTTTGTTTTTAAATAAAAGTTCTAATAACCCAGAGGTAATTTTAAAACGTTTATCTTCAATATCTACAATGTGATTTTTAAAGATTATGGTTTTATTACCAATCATAAGGGAACCATCATTAGCTTTGCGTACTCCATATATCATATCCAAACATTGTCTTCTATTATGTTTTATCAAAAATATATATTTACTAACTAATTTATCAATGTCAGATCCGGGTTTTAGTGTTTCACCATCATCAGTACTCATATAATTTATATCATCATCATCACTATCATTTTTATCAGATGCAGCTTTATTTTCAATCTCTTCTTTCTTTTCAATATTAACATTTTCATGTTTATAATCTGTCAAGTTAATAATTTTTTGTAAAGGTTGAACTACTGGCTTAAAAGTTTCATTCAAAACATTTTCGACAGCTTCCTTCCCTAATTTCAACATACGATGCTTCCGTCTAATTGCCTCACTAGCTTTAGCAATTTGACGTAGATACTCTTTCTCTTTATGAAACATGTTGATATTTCAAGTTTTAAAACAACACTAATACTATTTTAAAAATTATAGTGTATTTATAGTGCTAAAAAACTGTCGAATCCTTTTCTATATCTTCCTTCATTGAAATTAGAATCTTTATCAATTACTACAAAGCCATATTTGTCTGCATTCCAACATGTTGAACACAGCTCTCGAAATTGATTAAATGTCATGTCAGTATTAACATGATCATCATACACATGTCTTAAATTTTTCTCATCTTGGCGAAAAAGGACTAATAAATTGACATTATCACGTACTAAATGTTTAGGAATTCTAGCATATGTTTGACAGAGGTAAAAACAATCAACGTCAACATGTCTACCCATACAAAAGAATGCCCTTACGTTGTCTTGCTTTTCACAAGCAATATCGTCAAATATAAATATTGAATTTTGTTTTGCATCTTTAGGAGCAATTACTTCTTCATGATCACTAAATGGTAAATATTCAACTCCATCAACGTTACTCACAACTTGTTCTAAGAACTTATATTTTGGTTGTTGTAATGATTTTGAGTATAAGTAAATGTTGTCAAATCTGAGACCATTAGGATCTAGAATTAGAGACAGTAATACATTTGTTTTTCCACAATTTGATGGGCCACAGAAAATTGCACGAATACTACCTGATAATAAACTACCATGACGCTTAACTTTCTTCTCTTGTTGTTCAACAATTGAGTCCAGATTTACGACTGGCAGCTTATTAGGTTGTTCCTTGAATCGCATCCTGATGTAGACTGTTGTAAAAGGTATAAATACAGCGCTTATATAACCTTTCAGTCATTCTATTTTAAACATTCATAGAGTAAGGTATGATTATTCAACATCGCTCTCGAGGGAAAGGTTTAGTCAATAGTCTTATAAATAAGTTACCATTTGAATTACATCTGCCTGGTTATCAATATTGTGGACCAGGCACAAAGTTAGTAAAACGTCTACACAAAGGTGATCCGGGTATTAATCTTCTGGACGCCGCTTGTAAGGAGCACGATATCTCATATTCGAAAAATCGAGAAAACGTAGAAGCAAGAAACGTTGCTGATAGAGTTTTAGCTGAGAAGGCTTGGGAACGTGTTACAGCAAACGATTCCAGTTTCGGTGAAAAAGCTGCTGCTTTAGCTATATCTGGAACTATGAAAGTTAAATCAAAATTGGGTATGGGAGTTAGGAGAAAGAGAAAGTCAAAATTAGGCTTGGGTGGAAGGAAGAAAAAAAAGATATCTTCTAAAAAACTAACTGCCCTCAGAAAAATTGTAGATGCAGCTAGAAAATCCATAATTCCTGGTAATGATGCTCAATCAACAATTAAAAGTGCCATTGAAACTGCTCAGAAAGCTGTTAGAAATGCAGGAGGAAGAAAGAAAATTTTAGCACCGCGCATCTTGCCTGTACCTTCAAAAATTGGTGGTTTACTACCATTAATTCCAATTTTTGCTGGATTAAGCGCCCTTGGAGCACTAACTGGAGGTGTAGCAGGTGTATCAAAAGCTGTAAATAGTGCAAGTGCAGCAAAAGATAAATTAAAAGAAGCTCATCGCCATAATAAGGCAATGGAAGATATTGCACTTGGTAAAGGTCTCCATTTAAAACCCTATCGTCAGGGATTAGGTCTTCATTTAAAACCGTTTTCAAAAGGATCAGGCCTTCATTTAAAACCTTATCAAAGAGGACAAGGATTAAAAAAGTGTTCAAAAAAAAAAAGTTTTTGATACTTCCTAAACGAGCACTAACTGACTTTGAGTTGCTCAAATTTGTTAAAGACATGAAAATTTCTAACTTTAGAGGGGTTTTTATGCGAAATGAATTGCCGACAACAGGGCCGCGAAAAAATGAATCAGCTATTATTAATTTAGATGATAAAGATGGTTCTGGAACCCATTGGGTTGCATATAAAAAAGTTAATAATAAAGCTGAATACTTTGACAGTTTTGGTAATCTTCAACCACCATTTGAACTTGTTAGTTATTTAGGTTACAATACTCTAATACAATACAATCATAAAAATTATCAAGATTATGATACTTTTCATTGTGGTCATTTATGTCTTAAGTTTTTATGTGGACAACTTGAAATCACACAAAAATATATTCTATATAAATGATGGTATTTATATAACCTAATCAGTTTATAAAAAGTCATCATCATGTATGAATCGTTTACTTTAACTATCTCTGGCAATTCATCTATTCTGGAGGCTGAATATTTTCCACCAATAGAACTATTACCTAATAGAAATTATGTACTTGGCTTAGTTGAATTGTTAACTTTCAATTCAATTCCTAATATTGATGAGGGTAAAAATAAATTTTATATTGATAATCAAGTAATT